CCACCCAATGGATGCCTACTACAGGTTCACCATGGACTATGTGTTTTAGGGTTTATTTCAAACTTATCATACAGATCCAAATTCATCATTGCCTTCCAAATAACCAGGGGAATGGTTTATTTGTATTGAAAGGGTTTGTATCATGGAGCTATAGATGCCTATTGCAGATAACTTCATTGCCTTCCAGATTACCACGGGGCTATTAGACAACTATGGTCATGAAAGGGTTTTTGAGATGATCAAAAGACAATCTTCATTGATAACAATGGTATATTATTTGTCAAATTTCTCGATGAAGTTGAGTTGCTGCTTTTTCCTTCACTAGCCTTCTGAAATATATACCACATGCTTCACCTACGTTATATTCTTGCAGGACTGGAGTTGATCTTGGAGATTCTAGAATCAACTAACTTGAAGTACCAAAAAGATAGCTCTTTGGCTTTATGCAAGGTGGCTAGTAAAGCCAGCTCACTTTCTCCTATGGATGCAGCTCCTCCCTCCCCCAACACCCCAGGTTCTGATTATGATCATTATTTTGGATATGGCATCCATGTTTTTGTTTAGTCAGTCAATCAATCTATGTAATGTTTTTGCTTAAGGTTTTTAGCAATTTTGTAATTTGCATATCTTTTCAGCACTCGAACTCAAATATTAGGGAAGTTTTTAAACTACACAGAGAAAATTGAAAGAAAATACTATCGTGTTGCTTAATTAGAAATAATCAGTCAATTAGGCATATCAAATATACTTGCTATTTGAAGTTTGAAGCTAGAAACAATGAGTTGTTTTGAACTTTTCGGAGACATGTTTGGTTAGCGGAAATGTAGTTGCATATAAATTAAGATTACAAGTAAAGTTGTGGAAACACAAGTTCTATCTTTCCATCCCAATTATAAACATGCATGTTTTATCAACTTGCTTGTTTGTGTGCATTCTAAAACACTGCTGCTTGTAAGCAAAGAAGTTCATCTATTTTTCAGCTTTAACTCTTCCAATATTTCTTAAGGAAATCCTTTTCTCGTTAGCAATAATTTATTACTGTGTCTTGTATTGCTTTCCTTGGCATAGTTTTTACGGTGTCTTGTATTGCTTTCCTGATTTTTTCTTTAGCTCTACCATTTTTTTATGCCGTATACACTTTAAAGTGCTATCGACTAGTGTGCACTAACCTGCACTTATAAGTTAGATATGCATGTAATCCACAACTAGGCTTGAGTATTCTTGGATTATGATCACGAAGCGAGTCATAAGAGGGCCAAAATTTGCAGTTGTTGGAAGTGGGCCCTCAGGCTTGTTTGCTTCTCTTGTGGTTGCTGAACTTGGTGGAGATGTTACATTAATAGAAAGAGAGTAGGTAGTTGAACACTCTATTAGTTCGTAATTAAAGCATGCTATTTTCTTTTTGCTCCTTCAGGCTTATTTGTAGGTAGTGCCTTCTTCCTTTTCATTGAGTTGTACCCATGAATAATCTTTGGCCATTGTAACGTGGTGCTCCTGATGCAATGAAATGTTGAGCTCTCCTGTGAGATGTATTGATGAGATTCTTGCACTTCATTATTGAGCCGATGATTTCAAGGGTCAGATGAGAGACAAAAGGAGATGGAACTTTATGATTTGAAGTATAAGAAGAAACGGATGTTATTATTTTTTGATATAATACTTGATTGTAAGTATAAGACTACATACATTGGTGATATGCAATTCAATATAGAAGGGATTGCTTCACATTTATACATACAAATGTATTATTTGTCTCAAAAGGACTATAGTCTTTCGAAATAATTTGTACGCCTGAGGTTTCAATCAAGACAAATTTTACATCTCACGAGGCTATATTTGGCTTATATTTATAAACACTCAAATCATTTTTCATCAATACTTTATTAAAGAATGTTGGTTAAAAATGAGTTATTTAATACATTTCATTTAACACTCAAATCATTTTTTACCAACTTTAAAATTTATATGTTATTTAATACTATATTAATATTAAAATATTAAAATTTATTGAATAATCAGATATCTTGAATAAAATATTATAAAAAATATTCTCAAAATTTCAAAGTAAATGCGTTTTCCAATTTTATATTTCCATAAAGACAAAAAGAATGAATTTTCAACAATTTCAAAACAGCCACTCAAAATACAAAATTCAAAATGAATTCAAAACTCAAAACTACAAAACTAAAACACGAAGAGAACATCCCCTATAAGCTATACTCTTTCGATGCCAATTTTCGCATAAGTATTATTATAATGATAATACTTTATATTTTAATATTAATTTAATTTAAATATCAAGAGTATAAAAAAATAAAAATGAGAAACTGCTATTATAAATCTAGCAATATAAAATATTTAATAAATTATCAATTAGCTTTATAAAAAATCAGTCTGAAACATTTTTTATATTTACTTATTAATAATTTGTAGATCATATTTGCAGGAAAAATCACATATTATAGTTTTTTTCAAAATCTTATAATAGTATTTTTAAATTAAAGTAATCTCGTCTAAATCAAAAAGTAGAAAAATATATATCTTAACAAAAATAAAAAATTTTAAATTTTAAATATAATAAAATAATAATTTAATATTTATGTAATTTGCTCCGTATATTAGTGAACACTGATTGCCAAGTGCTCCGTCTCCCGAATCTTCTTCAACCAGCACAAAGACAATACAAGCTCAATCACATAAACAGAGATTTAAAGTTTCGATCTTTTTAAACGAAAAATTGATTTAAAAAGCTTTAATTATCTACGCAAAATTGGAGAAAAACCCAGTAAGTTCACTCCATTTCATCATCTGTTATTTATGTTTCTTGAACTCATTTTGATTTTTGTATGAACGTCATGGGCTTATGAGTAGTATATTATTCTCTTAATGTAATCAGAAGTGTAGGGAAATGAAATGAAGTATAACAATTCATAATCGCGCAAATTATTTACTTTTCAGCGAATTTTAATATTTTCTGTAATTTATTTTGATTACAGAATACTAATTTAATAAATTAACAAAATATGTTGGAGTTGAAACTAAGTCCAAGCCTGTAAATACGGCCTCCCAGATTGCCATACACATCAAAATATTGTTCTGATATTTTCTTTTTACGGTCCTGCATTTTCCATTAATTATATGTTGGCTCATTTGATTTTGAGTTATTAATGTGACCTAATATATTTTTCGAAGCGATAATAACAAGCTGTTAATAACTTGGAGGTTTCAAGAAAACTTTAGCAAGATCTAAAGTAATGGTGGAATTGGAGGAGCAGCAGAGTCCATCAGCAGGTAATTTTCTTATTTTTAGCCTTCTTTAACCGTAATATGGTTTTTCCCATTTTTTTTTCAATTACTTGTGTCCATAAGTTAAAGAATGTAATGAGCCACATATGTTGTATAAATAAAAGAAAAAGGAAATATAGACCGCAAGTGTTGTGTTGTGAAAACTCTGCAATGTGAACAAGTAACACACATGCCCACAGATTATTATCAACCTTGAATCATTTTTACGATTGGTGGGTTTTTTAGGATACCTTCAGAGGACAAAGACTAAGCTGAAAAATGGTTTTGGAAGCTGTAAAGTAGTTCTTTTTGTGGTTTTTATGATGGATTCAGTATGCTATTGTGTTCATTGTTGATAGTTTTGTTTAACATATTGGCCTTTAGTTAAGTCATACCATCTTCTGTAAGCTGACATAATTTTATTCCCTAGGAATAAAGCATGGAAAATAGTTCCTGCATTGAAATTTGATAAATGTCCTTTGATTTGGATAGTTTTGCTGTTAGAGCATATTGTATATTAGAATAAGGTAATATAATGTGTTTCTATATTAGAAGTTAGAATATCTGAAACTATTAAAATTACCGTCTTGGCTTTTCAACACTTGTGATTGTGAGGAGAATGTACGTCATCAAAATATATCCATACCATTTCACAAGTTATTGTGGATTCCTTTTGTAGGAAAGATCTTTTAGCATTAACTTCACAACTTTTTATAATCTTTGAAATGTTATGTAAGATGCATGACAGTTATTGGGACTGTCGCAATTGAATATAAACATCAGAGGTGTAATTGGTGCTTAATTTACTACTACATGTTTGTTAAAAACAAATTTGCTAAAGAATAAATTTATATAGACAAATGTGTCATCTCTCTAATAATTAGGTTTTTAGGTAAGGTGGTTCACTAAGAAATCAGAGCTTGCAAATATACCGAGTTCCAGTTTGCTATCACCCATTTTGAAAATTGTGCATGTGCCACAACTTTGATTAAAAAAAATTAAATCGTATATGGAAGACTAAATTTAATAAATAAGTTTGGTCTCTCAGTCTCTCTTTAATAGCTTAAACTTTTAGTTATGGTTGTTTAGTATTATGTGTGAATTCCCTATACAAAAGTCACTGTTATTTGGTTCATTTATGCTCTTCTCCTGCTATGTTCCACGACGAAACCGTTCATTTTTATGTCTTATATAATATAGATAATTTCCCTCTAGGGAAGTGTTAAAGGACGTAGATCTTCTCTTCTATGGATGAATAATAGAAATATTATTGAGTTTGAGATGGGAAAACCTTCTGGATTAATAAAAAAATTTATGCTTTGTAGATCAAAATGGTAATGATGATTTCATCACTGAAGGTGCTTCAGCTGTGCATGGAGAACCTCCTCAAGAAGAAAATGGTCCCCCCGAAGTTCATTCCGATGTTGAAGTTCTTCATGAGAAAGTGTCAAAGCAAGTTATAACAGAAGGTCATGGTCAGAAGCCATCAAAATATTCGACATGCTTTCGTAAGTCCATATTCAACAGATTTTTGAAAATTCTTTTTCACGGATTATATCATTTTCTTATCGTTGCATTTGTTTAACGGACTTATGAACATCAATTTCCTGAGATCTTTGACTATCTAGAAATGGCTTCTTGTTCTATGTTTTGTTGTATTACATGGACAGACATCGAACAGAAAATATCTTTGAAGTTTGCATAATTGTCTTTCTGGCCATCTATCCGTTGAGGGTGAGATAGAGAGAATGAGGGTGAGGATGAAATAGTACGACAGTTATGAAATTCTTGTGCAAGGTTCAGCAAGAAACTCAATAGATGAAAGTTTCTTGTCAAAATGGATCTGACCACCAACCTCTGCCCTCAGTTTCTTTGAGAAATGGGGAAAAAATTATTAGACGAAAAGGAGACTAATGAAAATTATTTCTTGTCACTTCTGATGATTTTGGAGGCTCTAGATAAAAATATACTGACTATAATTTCACAAATTTTTGCCATGTTTTCAAATTTATAATGTCCAAGGACATTGAGTCCTTCAAAATTCAGTTTCAATATCTGTATTCACATATTTTTTCCTAATGCCAAAATATGAGATCCAGTGGGAATCCTAGTTATCCTATTGATCTCCATCATGTGATTGTTTACTGTCTAGACAACATCTTAAGGTGAGTTATGCAAAGAAAGTTTCTTTTTTTGAAGGTGTAGTATTATTGCCTACAGTATTTTCTGTTGATTAAGGTACCAAAAAAACTGTCTTTATCCAAATCATTTAAGCTGGTATAGAATTTATGGTTGAGAATTTACTAATTGAAGAGCGATCAATCAGTTATTACTAATAGCTTTAGGATAATATGTTTTGAAAGTAAAGTCACCACATTTATTTTGACAGTGCATTACAGAGCATGGACTGAAAGCACCCTACACAAATTTGAAGATACATGGCACGAGCAACAACCCCTCGAGCTTGTCTTGGGAAAAGGTATTTGCTGAATTCATCCAGGAATATATTGTTTAATTAACTGCAAGTTCTTTTTTGTTCTCTTACTTCCTGTTTAGCATCTAGCCATCTGATAATGGTTGATGTTGTTATTGTTTATTCTCAAGGTTTCAGTCCTTTTTTATGGCCATGACCAGCATTTCAAATTTCAATTTTGATTCTATTGCTTGTATCAGAAATAAATAAACAATGTAAGGTTTTAAGTGCGTGGTGAACTTCTTATTTTGATGGCACCCCATGATATTCTTAATGTCTTTTCAAATTAAGTTCTGAAATTTAATATAATTCGGAATTTCATTAATCTTTTCCACAGAGAAAAAAGAAATGACAGGGCTGGCTATTGGCATTTCCAGCATGAAGTCTGGAGAACGGGCACTTTTACATGTTGGTTGGGAACTTGGGTATGGAAAAGAAGGAAGCTTTTCTTTTCCAAATGTTCCACAAATGGCAAATATTATATATGAAGTTGAGTTAATAGGTTTTGATGAAACCAAAGAAGTGAGTAACTAACATCTTGACTTTCTTCCGTAAATGTTCATATTTGGATTCCAACAGATGCTAAAAAATGCTAATTTTCTGGGTGAAACTTGGAATAGGGGAAACCGCGCAGTGACATGACAGTAGAGGAGAGGATTGGCACAGCGGACAGAAGGAAGATGGATGGGAATGCATTATTCAAGGAGGAAAAACTTGAGGAGGCTATGCAGCAGTATGAAATGGTTACAAAACTGCCACCGTCAGATTTGTTGTTTCAATATTAACATATGTTCGAAGTTTTATTCATCAAATTAGCAAAGGTTTTTGTGCGACAGGCCTTAGCATATATGGGAGATGATTTCATGTTTCAGTTGTTTGGAAAGTATCGGGACATGGCTTTGGCGGTAAAAAATCCTTGTCACCTCAACATGGCCGCATGTCTGATAAAGCTCAAGCGATATGACGAAGCCATTGCACAGTGCAGCATTGTACGTATACAATCCCCTATGGTTCATCTCTATACTGTTTTCGTGATTACTAATTCATTTCTGTAAGTTTTTCTTAACTTTGAAGAAAGTAGAACTCCTCCTGGAAAGAAATATGTCAGTCATATCCTTCTTCATTTTAGATTGGAATTAAAGAAAACAGTCTGTAATGCTGTCCTGAGTTTTAGATAAAAAGGAGTTAATGGAGAAATATGTACAAGTTCTTGATCTTGGAGGAAATATGTTTTCTTGTACACCTGAACATATTTGAAAGCTTGTTAGAAGAAATCTAACAGAATGGTGAGGGCATCTAGTTAGAGCAGAATTTGCTGTTGTATTTGAGAGTCACAAAGGTAACGGAGAAATGGATGCTGTTCTTGGTTTTCCACACTAAAGGTAATCACCATTTCATCTGTTGAGCTTTGAGGGTTCATCAAGATTCCTAACAGTATCAATGAAAAACGGGCAAAGAGGAAAATGAAAAGAGCATGTGACCCCATGTTATTTTGATTGTGTAGTTTCAATTTTGTGGAATGTGTATCTATAAATAGCTGAATTTCTGAAGAGCGTCTAAATATATTTCGACTTCAGCAATTGAAAATCATAAAAATTTTGAGAAGCCATAAATTAAAATGCTGATTGACAAATGTTCTTTAGGTGTTGGTCGAGGATGAAAACAACGTCAAAGCACTGTTCAGACGCGGAAAAGCTAGAGCTGAACTTGGACAAACGGATGCAGCTCGTGAGGACTTCCTAAAGGCTCGTAAATATGCACCTGATGACAAAGCAATTGTGCGGGAGTTACGCCTGTTATCAGAACATGACAAGGCTGTTTATCAGAAACAAAAGGAACTCTACAAAGGATTATTTGGACCGAAATCTGATCCCAACCCAAGACCAAAGAATTGGCTGATTTTGGTTTGGCAATGGCTGCTGTCCATATTCTATCGTCTTTTCAAGCTTAAGAAGCCGAAGGCTGAATAATATTAGGCAGGAGACTGGTTGTGAAGATAATAAGATGGGTTGTGAAATTGTGTCTACTTTTTGGTACTCATTTTTAGCCATCCTCAACTGTGCTTGTATCTTTCAACGAAGAGAATTGTGCTATTGAACCAACATTTCAGTTTAAATGAGCATGTTTGTCCAAGTGTTAGAAGTTTAAGTACGATGAAAATCGGAAATATGCTATTTAATCTAAGTAAGGTAAAAGTTATTCTCAATCGATTTTTGAGGGCAAAGCTAGGCTATATGGTGAAAGAGGCTGATAGCAATGGCGAAGCTGACGGCTGAGATTCTAAGGAGAAGAGGAGAGTATCTGGAGAGATGGAAGAAATCTCATGAAGAGTTGGTGAACTTAGAAGCTAAGAAGAAGGAGAAGGAACAACTGAACAAAGAGATTCAAGAATCGATGGATCGGGTCAAAGAGCTGGATAAGGAGATTAAATCACTAGAGACTAAAAGCAAACTGAAGGAGGACGCCGCTTTTAGTGAAATGAAGAACAAACTACGCAAGGAGCATTGGTCCGTTCTAGTCAACTTTTAACTTCATCAAAAAATAGGTGGCAAAATGAAAATGTGAATATGGAGTAGAATCGAACAGTCTAGTCCAGTTTGGTTCTTTCGATTTACAGTATTCTATATACAACATTTTAGGTCTTTAAGCAATATAAAGGTTGGAAGTAGCTCCAGAAACGTGCTCATAAAACTAAACTTAATAGTAACGTGAGCATAACTCGCCACACTTTCAAAATGAAGCTAAGGCACTGTAATTGAACGGGAAAAAAAAAATTGTGCAGATGCCCCTACTCTTTATACAGGTGGAGGTGGCAAGTCTAATAAGAGCCAAAATCCGACACAGTCGTCTGAATCCAAGTCATCTTGAATAGCAAGAAAATGTAAGCCCCCACAGGCCTTCTTTGCTGCTTCCCAAGCTTCAGCTTCCACTGTAGTGTCGGGTGTTTTCTTGTACGTGGCATAAATGTAGCGTGTAGAGATCCCAACAGATAGTATCAAAGAAGCTTTGGCTACATCTGCTTCAATCGAACAGACTTCTAGACCGTTCATCCAAGCTGAGCAATGCATACCAAGATGTTTAATAGAAAAAGAAAAACGTTGGTCAAAGATAAGTCGAGGCAAATGTTGAATCCAAGCTAGCGCGTGCGCGCACACATGAATTACTCTTGAACAGATGAAAGAAAATTTACCTGCTAATGGTTTGGCTCGTGAAGTTGCAACTGCAAGTCCAGGAATCAATGTCTTGTCATCAACTTCAATTCCCAAAAGATCCAAATCTAAAGTTGCACCAAATCTTGTGTCTAAATACGACAACTCCTCCTGAACAGCTGAGAAGAGAGAGCTAGATTATGATCATGATGATAAAACATTTCCTCAAACCGTAGAGAAATGAAAACTGTAAACATTTGCGCGTACCTGAAAAGGGTAACTGCACGAAAGCCCATTTTTCTCCGTAGAGGTTCTCTGGAAGTTCCATCGGGAAAGGATTATCAAGTGCTAGAAGTGGCTTAGATCCCTTTTGGAAACCTGGATGGCGCGTGTATACAGTTTCATAGCGTTCTTCAAGCCAAAGAAGTAACGATAAGCACTGAAACATAGATCGAAGATGTTAAAGTTGAAAGTAACAATAAGATCAAGTCCTCTCTACTACACTGGGAATAAGAACACTTGCTCATTGCATTACAATCGTTTCATATTTGATTAATGTTGACATAAAATATGATATAAATTCTCCAAGACATTCTTCACAGATTATGATGGGAGACATTTAAGAATGATTACATCAAACATAAAATGCAAAGCCTCGTGTTCAGATTGCAACAAGGTATGAAATGGTCATTTTCCTTTTATCAATAACAGGCATTTCTGAACAATAAACTAGCCAGTGGAGAATTTAATGACCTGCATAAAAGAGAGGAGGAACAGATTCTTTTTTCATTAAAAAATTACAAAATGACACATTTGGGCTGTGTTGAGGAAAAAAATTACTTAAAATCTTTCTCCTTGAATTGCTAGTCCTATTTAGTACTGCATAGCACATACAGAAGGTTTGACGGGGATTACATCTTGCCCCCAAATTGAACTAAATCTGACTAAGCCCCTGTTTATCTATTATTATCCAACCAAAAACTCTTTTTTCCCTAAAATTTTTTCATACTTTTTAATCACGTTCTCCAAAAAAATAACTATTTCAAAACTCATTTTACATTTGAAAAAAAAAAAAAAAAAAAGCTGCATCAAACAGGGCTAAAAATGCTCTGACTCAATGAAAAATGAATAATACATACCCTTTTGCTAGGTATGGATTTTATGCCAAGCTCTTTGCATGCTCTTGAAATAATTGTCTGCATTTGTGATCTATGAACATATCCCCAAATACCAAAGATCAGTTCACCTATGTCAATATTCGACAAAAAAAATCTGCAGAAGAAGAATCATGACGTATACATTGAACATCAGAAATTGAAAAAATCACCTGAAGAAGCGTATTTTATCTGGTAAAGGTACACCCAATTCATCACAAATAGAAACCATAGCATCCTTAAGAGTGACACTGTTAATGACATTGTTTGGAAAATACTTGGTATACTGAAGCGAAAGCGAATCATCGCAAACGACAAGCTCCCATATCTTTTTCCCTCTGATATCAAGAATTGGCCTAGAGCAAAAATCCACTTCCCAGTCAGTAATGCCCAGGGGATCAGTTTCTGGATCAAGATAACTCAATTCTGCTGTTGGGTCTTCACCTTCTTCATCAAAAACAGCTTCTTCAGTTTCAGTTTCCAATGGTGATGGAGAAACTGAGCTTTCAGAGACTGAAAAACATGGTGGAAAATGGGAAGTTCTGATTTTTTGGTTGGTGGGTTTCTTTGTGGAGAATTGAAACGAGTGATTAAATTGGATTTTTTTGGTAAAGGAAGTGAAATTGGTGATGGGTTGTTTGATTCTTGTGGTGTTGAAACTTAGACTAGCCATGGGAAGAGTGGTGGTGATAAGAAAGTAATCAAGAAAATGTTTGTGATTTTCTTGAGATGCTGTTAAAAGTAGTTATCCACCACATGTACAAAACGAGATGGATAGAGAATAAAGGTGGCCTTTTGACATAAAAGGATTGTTCAAGGGCTAATCCATAAATTAGTTAAAAAAATAATAATAAAAAATTAAAAAAAAATAAAAATAAAAATAAAAATACTACATTACTCAAAAACTTTTAGGTGCACTGGGTACGCGCACTGTGATTTAATTAAAAAGGTTTTTTAAAATTTTAAATTAAAAATTAATTATTAAATTTAACTAAATATTTTATTAATCTATAATTTTTATCAAATTTCAACCTCATATTTCGTTAACATTTATCAAAATCACAAAAAATAAATTTTTTTTTAGCAAATATACAATTTAATGAATAAATATAGTTAAAAGGTATTATGGTGG